ATGTTTGAACATTTTTTATTTCTCCATTTTACCATATATTTAAGTTTAAAATTTAATTTTATTAATTATAATCGGCCTATCAAAAATATTTTTTTGTTAATGGGAATAAAGCATCAATATCAAACGTCAAATAATATTATACATCACTACATCAACATTGTGATAGTCATATATATTTTGATTTGAACCATAAAACTGTCAATTTGAAAACACACCAAAAGATTCTGCGATCTAGATGATTTAGAGTTTAATATATATATATATATATATTTATAGATATATATATAGAGAGAGAAGAGAGAGAGAGAGAGAAAAGTGATTGCAAATTAATCAGAGTAATTTTGGTGTTTTTAAAATGATCTTTCTCCTTCCATTCTAATACATTATACGTTTTTGTTTCATTAACAACTGCACTATCAATTTGCAATAATGTTAAATTTTATTAAATTCAGTTTAAAATATTATAAAAATTTGTTGAATCAATTTTTATTTCTGAAATAAATGTCAAAAAATCAGAATTAAACATATATTTATAAGGATATGAGGTTTTAAAGTTCAACAGGGTTTTGGTTTGAAGAACTTTATTTAAAAGGAAATATTCCTTTAGGAACATTGAAAATTTTAAATCATCAATAAAGTGATTTTGAAGTTCCATAGAGGTGAATTTAGAAAGCCCAGGGTCGGATCCTTTGGTTACGGCGCCAACGGTGACGTCGCTCCTCCTGGTCGCTCCTCCTGGGTCCAAGCGTGCCGCTCCAACCCCTTGGTCAGATGATCACCAGCCTCGCCTTTCCCGACTCGCTTCCAATACCTGGTCACTAAAGCAACTGTACTGATCTCCGGTCTGTCTACCCACGCTGTGTTTAGATCTTAGACAGACGGGACCAGCAGGGATTGGGGCCGATACAAGTTGAGTCCGACGGGGTGGCAAAACACAAATAAAAGAGAAAATAAACTCACGAGACAAAAAAGATTGCTGATGAAAAAAAAAAATGGGTAACAACCTTTTATATCTTAATGTCCGTTACATAAAAACAAAATTGTTCTCATTTCCCAACCCGCTCTGTGGACTATGGCACCAAGCTTCTATCACACAACCTAAAGATTTCGAATTGCCTACTCTTTAGAATTGTGTATGTCGGAGTGTGGTTTGGTTCGACACTGGGGCTAATTTCGATCATTCGCAGTTGATTATCGATCATTCGCAGTTGATTCTTCTCTTCGACTTGAGTTGTATTTCTTCTTCTTCGTCGACTTAGGCTGGAAGTTCTCTTGTCTTCGACTTGGGCTGGAAGGATCTCTTGCCGCAACTCAGCCGCAACTCTCTGTCGTCCGAGGTGATCTCTTCTCGCTGCCGTCCGGGGCTGAACTCTCTGGCATCCTTCGAGCATTCTCTTCTTCTTCTTCTTCTGTCGGCCTGCAGCTCTTGGAACTTCTTCTGTCTTGCGGGAGCAATCTTCTTCTTCTTCGATTTGGGCTGGAAGGATTTCTTGTCTGAGGATTCTCTTGCCCGCAAAGGGGCGAGTGAATCGGGCCTGATGCCCGCGTTCAGGCTCTATCCCTGCCCGCGGTCCAGCTGCAACTCTCAACTCAACTGATTTCTGTCGACTGGGGTCCTGCTTTTATTGACGCCGCAACAAACTGGGGTGGGTCTGTCGGCGTCAGGGGTTTTCTCGATAATTCCAAAAGTCGCATTATTTTGATTTCATTATTATCGCTATTGTTTTCACCCTACTTCCTCACAGTGCCTTTGGTGGGGAGGCGCACACCCATCTCTTAGTCTCTCGTATGTCAGGTGACCGTTTTTCGACCAATGGTTCCTGATCGGGCATTTCTTTCTCTTCTTTTCTGCAGATCACGTGACCGTTTCCGACCAATTGTTATTGATCGAGCATCCTTTCTCCTCCGTTCGGGCGTGGTTACATCGTTCTTGTTTTAAAAAACAAAATCTAATTTTGCCTTTTTTCGCACGTACGAAAAATGACAATCTTGGCTTTTTCTCACCTGGGTTTTGTCAAACAGCCTGCCGCTAATTAGTTGTGACTTCAGGAAAGAATATTGTCGCCATCTGTGATCTGAGACAATCGTTTTTTTTTCACCTCTTGTTTTTTGTCAGACCCGGCAGTCAGAAAATCTTAATTATCTGAATTGAAAACATCTTTCACTTCGTCAATGTCGGGGGTTCTAATTTTTAACAGGTCAGAATCTGTATACCGTTCCACCGGTCACTCCCCTCAACCCAAAAAAGACACTTTTTCTCTGATTAAGATTTCGTTTTCATTGTTCCTAAAAAATTTCTCTTTATCCAAATTGATAAGATGTCTTTCCACGCAAAAGTAGGCTAGATGCTTTGACCGATATCTGGTTTTTCATCAAGCGGCCCGTTTTGATATCATGTCTTTTCCCTTTCTTTTTTTTTATTATTTCTAATTCTATTCTTCCAATTGTCTTTAAAAATTCGGTCAACATGCTAGCTAAGATATCTTTCTGACTCCTGTTTTTGTTAATGACCGCTTTTTGTATTCATCGACCTCTCTCTTTTTTTTTTTTTTCTTTCTCTTTTCTTTCTTTTTCTTTCTTCTTCTTTCCTTAGGATCGTCTAAGTACAATCTTAGTGAATTATTTTCAACTCAATTATTTTCCGTTAAAAAAAAAATCAACAACCTGTTTAGTAAACCGAGTAAAAAAAAATTAAATCATATTTCTATGAATATTTCTAATAATGCAAGGTGCCACATTAGCATAGTCTGCAAATATATGCAAATATATGCAAACAAATACCACTGTTTATATATTCAAGATAAAAATCTAGGGCGATTTTTTTTAAACCTCATTTACATTAACACTAATAGAAAATAACAAACATTTTAACCTTAAAGAAAAAAATTTACGAGATTTTTATTTAGTGAGTTATGAAGAAGGAACTAGTCATAAACTACAAGAAAACAGATCTTGTGGTCATCAGTAAAAAGATGAACCCGGAAATGCGATTTACAGGCCAGGGACACTAAAATCAAGCAGGTGCGAAAATTTAAATATCTGGGAAGTGTTTTGACAGAGGACGGTTGTATGCGATGCGTTTTTGAGATCCGAAGACGTATTGGGATGACCAAAGACGCATTCCAAAAGCTAGGCATATATTACGATACAGGAGGATTTCATTGGTACCAAGAAAAAGACTACTGAACTGATATGCATTATATGTCCACCTTTACGGCAAAAGTGTTGGACGGTTTCCTCAATGATGAAGAAGAGACTGAGGCGAACGAGGTATGTTTCTACGGAAGAATGCTGAGGATATCATGGACCGAACGTGGGAGCAAAAGATGAGGTTTAGGAGAGGATGCAAACAAGGAAAAAAGCTTATTTATTTAACATCAAGAAGATTTAAAGCACGTAATGAGAAAAGAGAGCTTGGAGAATCTGAAAACTCACAGGTCGAATAGAGGGAAAGAGAGACAAGAGAATGCAACGCGTGACATACCTAGCGGGCTTAAAATTAAAATTGTGTGACAGAACATAGCCTGGGGGAATAACAAAACTTATTAAGATCTACAAGGATAGGGGAAATGTGAAGCGCCATGATCGCCTACGTCCTGAAGGGATATGGCACATAAAAAGAAAGAAAATTTAAGAATATGTTGCGCCACTGGTACAAAGAAATTGGTTGCCTTAATTGAAAATTCTATATTTTACCTGAAAGGCTTGAATAACCCGCCCATTGATGCCAGTGGGATAGTCCGATTATCTCGGACCACTGTCACCAAGGGTTTTCAACATTTTAACTTTAAATAAAACTCAATGAAGAAAAATTTTTCAAGTAACTAAAGACGTTTAGGCGATTTTTAGAGAAAAAAACAAGGTTTTTTTTTTTCTCATATGAAAATAAAAAACAGAAGAAAAATATTGAAATCAAAAAGTACGTCCCATCGAGTTCAAAATCCTTAACCAAGAAAATAAATTTGATGAAAACTGTATATTTTTTAATGAAATGTCTGAGATTCTTCTTCTCGAAAAGATTTCTGATAAAAATCAATGTATATTTATATATGTATATTTATAGAGTTTTTCTTATAAATGTCGAAGGAATTAAACAAATGTACAAGACCCCAAAAAAGAGAAATGGAATGAAAAGAAAAGAAAAAAGAAAAACTAAAACGATTAAAGAAAGAAGAGAATCTTTAGGAAAGAAAAAAAAAAGACAAAGAGGAGAAAGAAGACAAAGAGGAGAAAGAAGAAAAGAAGAGAAAGAAGATAGAAAGAGGAGAAAGAAGAGAAAGAGGACAAAGAAGAGAAAGAGGACAAAGAAGAAAAGAAGACAAAAAGAAAAAGAAGACAAAGAGGAGAAAGAAGACAAAGAGGAGAAAGAAGACAAAAAGAAGAAAGACAAGAAAACAAAGGAGAAAGAAGAGAAAAAAACAAAACAAAGAGGAGAAAGAAGACAAAGAGGAAAAAGAAAAACAAAGAAAAAAAGAGGAGAAAAGAAAACAAAAGAAGACAAAGAGGAAAAAAAAAACAAAGAAGAAAAAAAGGAGGAAAGAAAACAAAGAAGAAAAAAAAAAGAAAAAAAACATTTTCGTTTAAAGAAGAAAAGAAGAAAAAGTTTTTTTTTTTTTAGAAAGAAGAGAAAGAAGAAAAAGAAGATTTAAAGAAGAGAAATAGGAGAAATAAGAGAAAGAAGAGAAAGAAAAGAGGAGAAAGAAGAGAAAGAGGAGAAAGAAGAGAAAGAGGATTAGAAAGAAGAGAAAGAATTAAAAGAGGAGAAAAGAGGAGAAAGAAGACAAAAGACTTAGACAAAAAAGACAAAGTATTTGAAGACAAAAAGACAAAAGACAAAGAGGAGAAAGAAGACAAAAAAGACAAAGAAGACAAAGAAAAAAATAAAGACAAAGAAGACAAAGAAAACAAAGAAGACAAAAAGACAAAGAAGACAAAAGAAGACAAAAAAAACAAAGAAGACAAAGAGGAGAAAGAAGACAAAGAAGACAAAGAAGAAAAAATCAAAGAAGACAAAGAGGAGAAAGAAACAAAGAAGACAAAGAGGAGAAAGAAAACAAAAGAAGACAAAGAGGAGAAAAAAAACAAAGAAGACAAAGGAGAAAAAAAAACAAAGAAGAAAAAGAGGAAAAAGAAAACAAAAGAAGAAAAAGAGGAGAAAAAAACAAAGAAGAGAGGAAAAAAGAAAACAAAGAAGAAAAAGAAAAACAAAGAAGAGAAAGAGGAGACAAAGAAGAGAAAGAGGACAAAGAAGAGAAAGAGGACAAAGAAGAGAAAGAAAGGACAAAGAAGAGAAAAAGGACAAAGAAGAGAAAGAGGACAAAAGAAGAGAAAGAGGACAAAGAAGAAAAGAGGACAAAGAAGAGAAAAGGACAAAGAAGAAAAGAAAGAAAGAAGAAAAAGAGGAGAAAAGAAGACAAAGAGGAGAAAGAAGACAAAGAGGAGAAAGAAGACAAAAGAGGAGAAAAGAAGACAAAGAGGAGAAAGAAGACAAAGAGGGAAGAGAAAGAAGAAAAGAAGAAAAAGACAGGAGACAAAGAGGAGAAAAATAACAAACAAAGAGGAGAGAAAGAAGACAAATAAGACAAAGAGGAGAAAGAAGACAAATAAGACAAAGAGGAGAAAGAAGACAAAACAAAAGAAGAGAAAAAGGAGAAAGAAAAAAGAAGAAAAGAAGACAAAGAAGACAAAGAGGAAAGAAGACAAAGAAGACAAAGAAGACTAAAGAAGACAAAGAAGATTAAAAAGAAAGAAGAAAAGAAGACAAAGAGGAGAAAGAAGACAAAGAAGACAAAGAGGAGAAAGAAGACAAAAGAAGACAAAGAGGAGAAAGAAGAACAAAGAAGACAAAGAGGAGAAAGAAGACAAAGAAGACAAAAAGGAGAAACAAAGACAAAGAAGACAAAAAGAGGACAAAGAGGACAAAGAAGACAAAAAAAGAAAGAGAAAGAAGAGGGGAAAGAAGACAAAGAGGAGAAAGAAGACAATTGGAGAAAAAAAGAAGACAAAGAGGAGTAAGAAGACAAAGACAAAGAGGAAAAGAAGAGAAAGAGACAAAGAAAGAAGATTAAAGAAAAAGAAAGAAGAAGAGAAATCACTTTTAAGGTAAAAAGAAGACAAAGAGGAGAAAAAGAAAAGAGGAAAAAGAAGAAAAAAGGAGAAAGAAGACAAAGAGGATAAAGAAGACAAAGAGGAGAAAGAAGACAAAGAGGAGAAAGAAGACAAAGAGGAGAAAGAGGAAGAAAGAAGAAAAAGTTGGAGAAAAGAAGACATTTTAAGAAAAGAAGACAAAGAAGGAGAAAGAAAAAAGGAGAAAGAGGAGAAAGAGGAGAAAGAGGAGAAAGAGGAATAAAAGAAAGTGGAACTGAGGAAAAAGAAAGAGAAAGAAAAGAAGCAAGAAAGAGGAAAATGAAAAGAGAAATTAATAAAATGTCCAGACAGAAAAAAAAAAAAAAATTAACTAGAAAAATAATTTCTGTCGTGTTCAGAAAAACTTAACGATATACAAAACGAATAAATGTGATTTTTGAATCGAACACTTTTTGGCTTTTAAAAAAAAAATTTATGACTCTACAGTTCGGTTGTTTCTTTTGTTACAAAATATTTTACGACGAATATGATTCATCTGAAGGCAAGATGAAGACTCGAGAATCATTGGGTTACATATTTGGGGGAATATGCCGGGTGAGGAGAGAGAACTTCTAACCAACATTCTACAATTTAAGATGACTACGTGAGCAATATTTGATCGCGAAAGAAAACAATTCCCTCATGTCTCCCTATACTTTTGATTCAAAACATTGTGAAATCTAAAAGATCCTCAGCCTATAACATCGCCTGTGATCACAGTTCGAGATCGGGGAAACTTTTAATATGCAAAACGAGACTAGATTTTTGTATCCCATATTGGTTTTTTTTGGGTAGGGAAAGACAGAAGTTTGTGTTTTCGACCAAAAGGCAGCCACTAATAGATATATGAACGATTTCAACTTTTCATATCTCTCTATCCAATGTTCTTTTCAGGGCGCAAGAAAACATGATTCTCCACAGCTTCCCTCTTGTTAATCTCCGCAATATTTGCCCGTTAGAAATCATCTTTTTTTTGATAAATTTTCCGGATTTAAATCTTTAAAAAAATAAATGGTGTCATAATATATAAGATAATATAAAAGTCACTGGATGTAGAGGGTTGGGTGGTCGATTTTGTTTAGCGGCATATCAACACCTCTATGGGTTATTCCATGCTGAAATCTAAATATTTTGAATGCAAATTATATGCCTTCAACTACAGATATATGGTTGGTCATTTTACTATAAAATATGTATTGTTGGTTGGTTGATTTTGTTTAGTGACATATCAACACCTCTATGGGTTATTTCATGCTGAAATCGAAATATTTTGATTGGTTTGGTTGGTTGATTTTGTTTAGCGGCATATCAACACCTCTATGGGTTATTTCATGCTGAAATCGAAATATTTTAATTTTATTTTTATGGCTTCAACTAAATATATTTTGAACGTAATTGCATACTTTCAACCCTACATAAAATATATCGTTGGTCATTTACTGTAAAAAAAATTTTTTACTTTAAATGCATTATTTTATCCTGAGATCATTAAAAAGACCAATAATTTCTATTTTAACAGGTTAGAAATCACATTAAAAGATATGTTTCCAACCAGGAAAACAAAAATTGTTTATAGTAAACTTTATTTTATAATTTTTGCCAACAAGGAGATTATGTTCAATCTTTAGCTATCTTTTTTTTCTGTCAAATTTATAAAAATTTTTTGGATATATAATTGTTAGGAGGTTTATAATTATTTACTCAAGTTATAACTTAAGTTTAATTCACGACATAAAAATGTTCCTACGTGAGTTCATCTGTGACGGCAACATGACAGAAAAGGAAACATAACCTTAATTTTTGATTATGTAAACATGCAATTCTGAGTTAGAAGCTTAAATGGATCAACATCCAACATACCAATATTCTCCAGTGTCAATCCTCAGTCATTGCTCATTACATTTATATAACTGATTTGGATTATAAAAAATAAATCCATGTTACTAGCTCGGTAAAAGGACCGCATTCAATATTATTGTATTGAAAACTACTTGAAATATATCTTTGTTGTATTTTTTTCTATTTCCCTTCAGAAAAAATTATTCTAGTCTTAATCTGAATCCTCCTTTCATTGGAAGAAAAAAGATGAAATTTTAAGAAAGTTTGACTGAAGCGTTAATAAACGCGAAACTTTAATCAGGTGGAGACTTGATTATATTTTCAATTTTACAGAAAGTAGCTTTTATATCCCAAAACATCTGAAACTAATACTGGAAGAAAAATTTGAGAAGGAGAGAATAAAAATAAATTGGAGAGTTACAATGAGAGAGGGGAAAGAAAGATTGTTGAATGTTATTTTATTTGGTAAGAACCAAAAGATGTTTTAAAAGGAGGCTGAAGGTGAAAACGTAATGAAGACAAAAGGAAGAGAGATGAAAAAGGTATAAACAAAGGAAAGAATTAAAACAAAGCACACATTTTTAAAAGGGGATTACATATTGAGAGATAGAGAGAGAGAGAGAGATTACATTTTTTTCCATCCTCAAAAATTTTGCTGATCTTATAATCGAAGGAAAAAAAAGAATGAAAATTTAAAGTTGAACATTATTAATTTATTAAATTTTTTCTGAGGTCATATTATCACTTCATCGACTTCGAACAGTTTTGACCCTTTTGATAGGTAGGGAGAAGGACCTGCTCCTAGTTAACTAAAACGATGAAGGTTTCTTCAAAAAGGGGGGTTTGTCATTTAATGTTATCAATAAAATGCGAAATGGAAGCTTTGGTGGGACCAGGCTTTACATTTCATTATTAGTTTTTTTTGGAGAATGATAGGTTCTGACATTAACAGGTAAATTGGGTCCAGTATGAGGGCAGAGGTGTTTTGGGAAGAATTTGCAACAAGAAAAATTAAAAAAAAAAAAAAAAAAACCAGACAACAAACAATCAGGAGTAAGGATGATAGAAATTAATTTAAATAAAAATGGGTGGGTGGGTTGTCGAAGAAGTTTTCGCGTAATGGAAATGATTCCATCTTAGTAAAAATGCCGCCATTTTAACTGCAAAAATTTCTGGATAGTTCGTAGACGATAAGAAATTTATGTCTTGGCTATGTTGTTATGTTCGGAAATAATAAGAAAAATCTCGTTTCGGACGATAAAAAATTGTAATGATCTTTTTCTGAAGTTTTTGTTTTTTGGTTGCTTGTTTTTTGAATTTTTGTTGTTTTTTTTAACTTTAACAAAAGACCTAAAAAGAGTGTTTGCTTAGTTGGTTAGAAGACTTGTCCTTTTACAAGAAAAAGACATTTTGTTTTCATTCAAAAAAGAAAGAAAGTGCTGTGGCATTCCATCACACATTTTCATAATAAATCATGAACAAAACTAGTTCTCATTAAAAGAAATTAGTTTTATATTTGTAAATCAATTCTATTTTTATATGACATTATAAAAAAAAACGGGTCAAAAAAATTTCTAATTAAAGAGATACACATACAATAAGTATAGAAAGTATTTTCTGAAAAAAAAAAAAGTATGTCGTTATAGTTTAGGATTGTTAGCCTGTTTTTAATCGCCTAAATTTGAATTAAAAAACGCCCATCTCATTAAATTTTATAGCAATTTTGTGCGAATACTATTTAATTGAAAGCGTTTAAAGTTAATAAAATATTTTGTGCAAACAATTCGATATTAACTAGTTCAAACAACTTTACATTTTTTTTCCAAACAAATTCCGACTATTCAAATATTTTTAATATTTATTTATCGACTTTACATTTCACAATACGGCTACTTGTGTGTGAATTATTCAAAATTGCCATTGTTGGCAAGACATACAATTTTTTTTAATTTGAAAACATCATTTTTTTTTATCATTGATTATCGAAATTCTTTTAAAATTGAGAAATGAATATTCATAAGCCAAACGGATATAAATGCCTCAGAATTTTGATTTTTTTTTTTTTTTTATTGCGTTTCAGTACTATTACTTTTTGAAAAAATGATTTGTCTTCAAAGTTTTGTAAAATATTTTGTCATTTTCCTCATCCTTTCCAAGTAGATTTTTCTCGACGACATAGTGGTAAAAAAAACATCGAAAACGTAACTTTTTCTGCAGTTAGAATTTTCATTTTAAAAAAAATAAGGTATTCAAGTACTTATTAGAATTATTTACAGGTTAAAGGTGATGTCAGCTTTTCTCGAGCTTTTTTTTTGACCATTGTCTTAACAGCTCCTTTAGTCCTCCCAACTGAACGTCACCTCCACTCATGAATGTTCCGTTTGATAACTTCTCCGGCTTTGATTTCTTGGCAACTTTTTATAATTTTAACGTAATAGCTTGAGTTGTTTCTGGTCTTTCTTGGATGAAAATAGTAACAAAAAAACATAACCTCAAAATTTACAATGGGATATCACTTTACCTTGTGGTTTCAAATTTACATGAATATTTTTCGGCAAACTTGGATCTTTTTGCCCGTAAATAATGGATTGTCAAAAGACGGTTTTCCATTCACACATGTTATTATTTTAAACTTTCCTCATCAACAAGCCTTTATTGTTTTAAAAACGATTATTGGTGTAATTTTAAACCTTTGATGAAAGTGAATTTATACAATTTTTTTTGTTCTTGAGAATTTACATTAAAATAAATAATCAGTATTTATTTATTGGATTGTTTATTTACAAGAATAATTCATATATTAGGCCGGGCAAATAAGAAAAATTTTTTTTAATATGAAGTCGACAAATTTTTAAGGTTTTTGTAAAAAAAAAAAAAACTTGTGTGATAAAAAAAACAGCTTTTTCAGACACCACTATTATTTTTAACTACCTTCAAATATTTGGAAATGTTTATTTTTAAAAGCGATTATTAGAAAAGAAATAAAACCAAGAATATGATAGTAAATTTGAACATGTCTTTGTTCTTGAAAATTGTTAACAAAAATAATAAACGCTATTTATTTATTAAAATTTCCACCAAATTTGGAACATAGATTGTACTCGATACTGGGTGTGTCTGGGCAAAAAATTAGTCATTTTCAAAAATCAATAACCGATAATTGATAAATATAATGTTTAAATGGGAATTTCCATTAGTTTGGTAGTTTTTAAACTTTCAGACTTGAAGTCTAAACCCTAAGGCCGATTTTAATGAAACTTGGTAAGTGTATGCAACTTACTGTCATGCTTATTATATGCTATATGATTTTTGTTTCTCTTGACACTGGAACCCTCAGGATGCCCCAAAGGGATCCAAAAAATTCAAATTGCTTCGATTTTGATGAAATTTTGCATGTTTGTTACGCTCTTACAATGAGATAGAAATCAGTTGTCAGATTTTAAAAAATGCATGAGGGAGCCCCCCAGGATGACCCTATAAACCTCTTGATGCCTCAATTGCTTTTCAAGTGTATTTTGTAGCAGTACTGACCAATTTCAACAAAAATTTCAGTACATATTGAGATTATATCGAGTAACTGAAGTAGTCACTTGGAATTCACTGAAAATCAACACTGGGACCCCCATGAGTTAGGGGACCAGCAGGGAACCCCAAAATTTTCAATTAAGTCTACAGCCTCGGCCATAAAGTCAATTAAATAGAAAACTTTAAAAAGATGTGCTTTATTATTTCAATTACTATTAG